GATTAGAACATAGACATCTTTTGGGGGAGCCACCCTTCAACCCACTACAAGGTGCATTTAGCCTGGCTTTTATATGTCTTAGCGATATTTTAAGAGATTATGCATATAAAGCTCTCAGGTTAGTACCTGGCAGAGAAGAAACGTTCAATAAATAATAGCCATTATTATTGTTATTCTTCTTATTATTATTCAGTGACAGTCATGTGCATAGTCCTTAATGGTTACTTTCCTATTTTTAAAAGTTGGGTTTCTTAGGCCAAAAAAGTTAACTAGAATACTTGAGACATACTGCAAACAGCAAGGGTTTAAGTGAGTTTCACTAGTTAATATTCCCTTTAACAGGAAAACTCAGTCAACCAGAATTCTCATCCCCTATGTCACATATGAACTTTGACAGTGCTTCCAGCAAAGGAAGCTTATCTATGCCAAGGGCATGGAGTTCTTTTCCCTGTGCCAGTACCCAAATAATGAATGACTTTATCTGAAATAATTTGAAGAGGTTATGTGTAAGTGATTACAGACTTGGAAAATCTAGGGAAGCAACCATCAAATAACCACCCTGCAAGATTAGAGATGTGAGAATGGACCAAGGTTGGCAATGAAATGTTTTTCTTCAGGTAGCTCCTTGAGTCGGTGACAAAGCAGAGACCAGAACCCGGGTCTCTGGATTCATCCCAGCCTTATTCCCACTAGTGATCTGTCTCATCTTATTGAGAACAGACGGTACAAAAAGTTAATAGAAATAATAACGTCAGCTGTTTAAAAGAATCGAGAGGGTATGGAACCAATTTATGGGACTTAGCACCATGTTAATATCAGAAGTTTTGTAAATTCTATTCCAATAGACCCATGTCATGATATTGATATAACCTTCACAAACATACTTTGCTTCCATTTGGTAACAGCAACAGAGTAAAGCACTGTGGTATATACCAATCACCTTATTTTGACACACAAGACCCTCTACAGTGTTCCTTGATAATAATGATCACCTTGTCCTTCCCTTCACGTACCTTTTGCTCCAATGAAATGAAGTGTCACTAACTCCATATTTATTCCCTGCTTCCTCCAATCCACATTTCTTCAGTTCTCATTCTCTGTATCTTGAATACTTCCCCCCTTCCCTGTTTCTATAGCTCCGAAGTCCCACCATCCTTAAAGGTTCAGTCCAAATTCTAGGTAATCCAAAAGCCTTTCTGGTTTGCTTCCACCTGGAAATGGCATTATCTCTGAACTCCCCCTGCTTATTTTTTACACTTCTCTTGTATCATCAGTCATTTTCTAATTTTTACTCATTTATCTTCATTTTGTATCTTTCCTCTTCATGTATTAAGGCCTCAGAGACATCCATGAAATGATAGTTAAATAATATTTATGTTCGGGAGCTTGTTATGAACCAGGAAGCCCACATGTCACAGGACTTTTTAAAACGGATTAAATATCTGAGCCCAATACCTTGGTCACATGTATGTGGACCAAGTTGGAAATCCAGTTCAAGATCAGCTGATCCCTAAACTGACCAGAAACTATGCAGTGGCACACAGGGGTGACCGTGATATCCTGGATCTGACTCATACTGGTTCTCAGTTCCATTTTCAGGATTTGAGGAGTCAGGTGACATCATGTTGATAGCTGAAATCAACCACAGTGGGATTATTTGCACCATGGAAATCGTCAAACATTACAAATCAGGGCTTTCCCCCCACCCAGTCCTCCCACAGACAGCCCATTATTGAACATTAACCAGCACAATACTGCTGCTAACCAACTAAATCTTCTCCCTCGGCAATTTGAGTGTGAGACCCACGGAAAGAGCCGGTGGTCTTTAACAGAGACAAAAGCAGAAAAACTCAGAAGAGAAGGCAGTGAGCAAGGAGGCACGAGGTAGCAAAAGCCTCAAGGCAGAGAGACAGGAATAGAAAGAAGTTAATCAGTGGGGCGCCTGGGTGGCTCAGTCCGTTACACGTCTAACCTCAGCTCAGGTGATGATCTCACAGTTGGTGAGTTCAAGCCCCACGTCTGGCTCTGTGCTGACAGCTTAGAACCTGAAGCCTCCTTCGGATTCTGTGTCTCCCTCTTTCTCTGCCCCTCACCACTCGTGCTCTGTCTCTGTCTTTCAAAAAAGAAATGAATGTTAAAACATCTGTATAAAAAAAAAGAAATAAGTTAATCAGTAATGGCAGGTTTGGTAGAAGCAGAAGCAGAAGGTGGTGAGGCTGTTTTCATGACGAATTCCTGGAGTAGGAAAAACCAGATGCCTCCGCCTTGGGATGGTGACTAACTCCGGTGTCTGGAGTCGTGCTGCATCCCATGTGACCTTTTCTGACTCCTGCTCTTCCGGGATTCTGGCTCTGCGGCGGTTCCTGTTTTTCTTTGTTGTCTCCCCTGAAAGATAAATCCTCATCACAGAGGCCCCAGAGGAGAGGCAGAGTGACATGCACAGACCTTCTCATGGGTAACGCTCACATAGGGGGCGCATAAGCCACCGACTCTGGTGAGCACCAACCAGCGCGAGATGAGGAAGCTGAGGCTCAGAGGACCTGTGGGACTTGCCCAATAACGTGCAACCAGCAAACAGCAGGGCCAAGGGAGAACCCCCCAGGCGGCCGGCGTCAAGATCACGAGCTTCCTCCACTTTGGGCCTGGGTGATCTGTAAGAGCCACGTAGGATGCGTACCGGTCTGATGCTCTGCCCACCCAGGTCCCAGTCTGTGTATGACAAGCAGGGCTGGGCAACAATCAGAAGGAGCAGAGAGGCTGAGAGGTAGAAACACTGAAAGAGAAGGAGAAAGGGAGGAAATGTGGTTTAAAAGTTTGAGTGTTATGTACAGATAAGACGTATATGGGTATATACACATATATACACGTATGTGGTATCACGTAGATTATATTTCATGTATATGACATGGCATCAAACACATGTCAGTTAAAGTCTCAGCTTTGAGGCACCTGGGTGGCTCAGTCTGTTGAGCTTCTGGCTTGGGCTCAGATCATGATCTCACGGTCCGTGGGTTCGAGCCTGGCATCAGGCTCTGTGCTGACAGCTCAGAGCCTGGAGCCTGCTTCGGATTCTGTGTCTCCCTCTCTGCCCTTTCCTTGCTCTCTCTCTCTCTCAAAAATAAATGCACATTAAAAAAAAATTTTTTTTTAAGTCTCAGCTTCCTACTGATTGGACACGAGAACTTGTACAAGTCATTACCCCTCGAAGACTTCACCCATAAAATGGGTATTAACTTCTCTACCTCCTAAGATTCTGGTAAGGCTTGGCTAGAGAATGTATATAAACCACTTGGCCCAAAGCCTGCCATGGAGTAAGTATTTTATATATTTGGTGTATAGTTCCTATTATTTTAAGTAAAATAAGAAAAAAAATCATGAATAACTATCATAACTTTAATCTGATTTGCTCCTATTTGACCACCCATAAAAGGATTACTACACATAAATTGATGGTATTCTATACATGCACACAGGCTGCTCTGAAAAAAAAAAATTAAAAAAAAAAGAAAGAAAAATTGGAAACATGCAAGGCTCAAAATTAAATGTCTTTAAATAAAACATAAAGCAAAACCAGCTGCTGTTGGAACTTGGTCCCTAGGCAGATTTGATTTTTGAAAATGACAAAGATGCCAAATTGTGCTTCGATCCCTGGGCTGCATGAGCGTAGCAAACGTGATTGCCTCCTTGCACTGATTGCCTGTGCGAGGGAAAGATACAGATGCTTAAACAAAGGATATTGTATGCTGGACACACAGCTCTCTGGGACCCCCAGCCAGCAGGGGATTCTGCAGCCATACCGCAAACAGTGTTGCCGAATTTCCTCCCACTTTCTGAAATGGCAACACCATGAATGAAACACCCTAATGGGTGCCATAAAAGAGGAAAAGAGCAAATTCGTTAGGCTGACACAGGATAACACTTCTTGCCATTACAGAGAAATCACCTATATTTCTTTTTTTTTTTTTAATTTTTTTTTCAACGTTTATTTATTTTTGGGACAGAGAGAGACAGTGCTTGAACGGGGGAGGGGCAGAGAGAGAGGGAGACACAGAATCGGAAACAGGATCCAGGCTCTGAGCCATCAGCCCAGAGCCCGACGCGGGGCTCGAACTCCCGGACCGCGAGATCGTGACCTGAGCTGAAGTCGGACGCTTAACCGACTGCGCCACCCAGGCGCCCCGAAATCACCTATATTTCTACAGACCTCAGTATGGGGCCTTATGATTTACCAACAGAGCCTCTGCTAAGACAGTACAGGCCAAGACTAATGCCACCTGGGAGATGGGTTTCCCGTGCTGTGACCTAGAAATGAGACCCAAGCTATCTTTTTTTAATATAATTCAAATACAATTCTTTTTAAGTATAATTTTAAAGTTGGTAAAACAAAACCAAAGAAAACGCATAACGTAGAGGCAAGAATAAAATCCGCCATCAAACACATCACCCGGACAGTTACTGCTTTTTGCCTACACGCTTTCCAGGCTTTTTGTCCCCACACCGCACGGTCGCTTTTACAGAGTATCCGCTGATTCTGCAACGTGAATTTTCAATCGCTAGGCTGGCATTCTGTAAGGTGGGGTAGGATAACAGCAGGGGACCCCACCCACCTACCAGGGTACCAGGAAGTACCCCTTAGAGGAAAATCATTTCTTTCGGAGGAAAGGATTACTGATCCAGGCGCTTCCTTCCTGCGCCCGTGGGAATACACCAGGACTGAAAATGAGAAATTCTCCTGCTTCGTGGCCCCAGCTTACCTTTCCTGAATCCCCATATCACGTCCTCCAGCATGCCCCGTGTTCCTGGCACAGAGAACTGATTCACAGTGAACTGGACCACCTCTCAAGGTGTTCACTCTGCCTGAAACTCTCCAGTGTACAGCGAATTCCTTTTGACCACTCGGGCCTCATAGGACACGCCCCTCCTCTAGGAAGCCTTTGCCGAACCTGACCCGACCCACCACCGCGGACAGAGGAGGTGATTCGGCACACCACCGCTACCTCTTCAGGGCACTCATTACACTACTTTATTTTTGGTTTTTAACCTCTTTCCCAAGGGGAGGGGGGAGAGACATGAAGTTACATTCAGAAGGGAAGTTAAGGACCAGGAACTGGGCTTGTGCCACCACCTGCAGTGTGCATGTAGGCCATGGTCATATGTTTATGAGCAGCAGGAGCCTTTGCCCAAGAGTGAAGCGTGAGCTATTCGTTCCAGGGGAAAAGCCACTCTGGAGACTGCAGGTATGTCCATCTGAGGATATCCCCGTGGTTCCAGGCTAAGCTCCGTCCTTAAAAGGCTCACACCTGAAGAAAAGGAATCTTCAACAACTAGGAGGAAAACCGTCATGATCAAATGGCTGAGGCTCACAGAAAGGATAAGGAGTCAACATGAGTCCTTGCTGTCACACACACGATTGTAGGGAAGATTGAGAGGGGGAGGTGAATGGCACCCCCAGTGAAGTCTCTCTTAGGAGACAGGAAGCCCTCTCTCTTAGGCAGGAAGCCCTGCCCTGTGGAGACAAAGAAAAAGCCAGAATGAATACAAGGCTATGATTTTCAGAGCTGAGCCTCTACAGAAAATAAATAGGTTAGAATTGCCACCTTCCGTCCTCAAGGGTAGATAGTTTCTCTGGGTGACAGACTTCCCAAATAGTTTATCTTGTACACTTGTGTGACCTGCCCTAATAGCACCCAGAGTAAGAACTGGTAAGTGGAAGGCACTGCATAGATATTTGATGGATGGAGGGATGGAGGGAGAGAGGGAGGGAGGGAGGGGTGGAGGGAGGGATGATAGTGCAATGTTACTCCAGGGTTACTCAGACGTAACTGTGTCTTAGAAAGTAATACGAGGGGCGCCTGGGTGGCTCAGTCGGTTAAGCGTCCGACTTCGGCTCAGGTCATACCTCACGGTTTGTGAGTTTGAGCCCCGCATCCGGCTCTATGCTGACAGCTCAGAGCCTAGAGTCTGTTTCAAATTCTGTGTCTCCCTCTCTCTCTGCCCCTCCCCCTGCTCATGTTCTGTCTCTCTGTCTTTCTCAAAAACAAATAAACATTAAAAAAAAAATTAAAAAAAAAAAAAAAGACAGTAATGTGAAAACAGTTCACTTAGAGAGTAGTCACTTCAGCCAGGGTCTGGAAGGACAAATTCGAAAGCAATGCAGGACAGTTCCAGAAGCACAGAGGAAGGTAGAGGGACAAGTACCCCAAAGGAAGCTTAACAGGCTGTGATCCCATTCTACAGATGCACCCTGCTTCTTGAATAGGTCCTACCTTAGGGAATACTCAGGGCAGGGTTCCAGCATCCTTGTGTTCCAATGAAGAACACTGTGGAATTTTTGAATCCTAAAGAGTCCTGAAAAGAAACTATTGTAGTCCCTAAACTAGTTCAATAGTTCAGTATCCATAGAGGAAATGGACATTGTCTAAATTAGTTTGGCATGGATAACCTCAGTGCTGTCTTCCACAATGGCTGCACCAGTTTGCATTCCCACCAACAGTGCACGAGGGTTAGGCCAAACATGCTGGGAGTCACAAAAGTGTAAATGAGCTAAACTCCTCTATTAAAGGACAGAGCCTGAGATTTTTTAAAATACAGCTTAATGTATCATAATGCACACTCCTAAAACAAAAACATCAGTGAAAAATAAAAGGTTAGAAAATAATATGATAGGCAAAAGTTGACCAAAAGAGAACCAGGTATAACAATATTAGTATGTTGTTCACTTACTTTAAGTCTAAAATTGCCTCTTTTCTAATGATCAGGATTTTATGAACACAATGAAGTGTTAAGACTGGTCATCTCCTGCTGACTAGCTAGCTATTCTCATTGGCATTCGAGTCTCTGATGTACCTAAATCAAAGTTAAATAAATTAATACATGTACCACTATCACTTTGCAAATATAAAATAAATTAACAAAACCAATATAAACTAATAAAAAGCAAATTTTTTATTTACTTTATTTGCTATATCCCTCGATATATTTGGTGAATAAAATCTTTCAAGACATAGGTTCTGTGTGGCAAAAGTAAATAAAAGGGGAGGTGTCCTGCAAAGAAAAGTATGGACACTCCAACTTAGTCCAAAGTTCTCAAAGGATGGCACTGAGGCTCGTAGAATTTCGAGAATCTGCCCACAGGCATACCACGGGACTCTTTGACTCCATCGCTCATATTCTTTCACACTCAATCAGTTGCGTCCTACAAAATGAAAATCCTGTTGCAAAAAGCTGAGCGGCTAAAAACCCTGCAGCCTTTCTGCGTAGCCCAGCTTGACGCTCAGTTGGACACTCAGCGGGCCATGGGGTCTCCCTTCCAAGCCGGTAGTCAACTACCAGATGCCCCTCCAATGCCACTTGAATCCAAAGTCTGGAAAATCGAGCAGGATTTCTATGTTGTAGTCGGGAGGCAGAATTTCTTCTTTGGGAAAACTCAGTCTTTGCTCTGAAGGCAACTTAAGAGCATGGTCAGGCACTAGCCAAGTCGACTCATAAAATTAACCATCACGGCCACACTTACACCAGCATCCAGAAGGCTCCTGCAGCAGAAGAAAAAGGGCTCTTGGCTTTGAAAATGCCAACTTCTTCGGCAACTTCTTTGGCCTCCTTTCCAGATTCGGTAAGGTGGAAATAATGCACCGGAGGGGAGAGAATTACCAGTTTTTTAAAATACTGACAAGGTGTAAATGGTCTTCTAACTGGATGGTTAGTGCACAAGGCAGAGCTACCCGGGCACCACCCTTCTCGGAGCACTCCTGCACCCCAGACACAACCCACCTGCCCTGGAGCCCTGCACCTTGTGGGGCCCGGGGAAGACCTAACCACATGCAACGAAAAGGAGTTATTTTATCGTTAGATGGAACTCTTGCCCCAACTTGTCACGTGGAGCTGGACTGGGCCAAATGGATTCCATTTCCTGGTTGTCATAAATGTCTTTTCCAGCCCTGAGCCCCATGTCCTTTCTGCTTAGCTGCATTTTACTGTCATGGGAAAGCAGTTGCACACCCCTTCCCTCCGTGGGCCAAAGAGAAGCACCCAGAACAGGCTGTGGGAAACTCTGGTTTAGATGTCCACATCTCTAGGGCCTGGCACTGGCTGAGGCACAGAAGACCTCGCCGGTTTGACTCGTTGACTCAATCATGCCCCGACCTGAGAAACCAAGCCTTTCCTTTTATTGCCTTTTTTTGAAAATAAAGGCCTCCGTTGCCTCCAGATGTGACATCCCCTTCTGCTCTCTGCTCTCCTGCACCCCTATAACAGAGTTGGCGGCAGGCTCGGTGCAGGCTACTTTATCTTTCAGTCCCTCACCTGGAAAGCAGGAAGGATAGCACCTATCCAGAGTCCGTGGGAAGACTACACAAGATCCTGGGTTCTGAGCGCCTGACATCACCATGCACGAACAAAATCCCTTATCTCTTCCCCGTGTTCAGTGCCGTGCTCCACGTGTTTGCCCCCGGGGCTCACACGTTCCCCTAAGCCAGGCTCGGATTCCCATCGGCTGGCAGAAGTGCAAACCGGGGGTCGGTCTGCCATCCTTCTGGCTTCGGGGTGAACCAAAGGAGGACGTGCCGTGTGCCTGCACGCAGCCGTTAGCATACTCAGGCCTTTTGTTTCACAACGGATGGGACACCGGGGCAGACAGGTGTCTGAGAAGGTGACAGCAAGCAACCAAGACCGACAGGCGAGAGCAAGCCGCGGGGCCACCGCGAGCAAGTCCCGGGTCGCAAAGAGGGCGGCAGAAGAGGGAGAGGGCGGGACGTGCAGGGCCAGGCACAGGGCGGTTGTGTGGGAAGTAGCAGAGGGGGGCAGGGGGAGCAGAAGGAATGAGAATCTCAGCCACACAGGCGGAGTGGAGGAAAGGAAAGTCCACCTTGTGCAGGAGAAAGCCATTGCTTGAGGTTCTGTAAACACGTGTGAGAGGCCGGCTGTCATCTGGTGAGAGAGGCCACGCAGGGAGAAAGGCGACTCTTCCACTCCCTGGCTTTGCCGAAGCCACCATCTAGCTTGTCTAGCTTGGAATGTTGCAACAGCCTTTCAGCTGGTCTCCTTGCTTCCGACCCGGCCCCTTTAGCCCTGGCCTCTAAACAGCGATCGGAGAAAGCCCGTGAAGCTTGAGTCAACTTATGTCACTCCTTTGCTCCAACCCTGCAGTGGCTACCATCTCAGAGCAAAACCAAAGTCCCCACAAAGTTCTTCAACGATCTTTATGGTCTCCTATGATCTACTCTCCATCCCTCAGCATTCCTGCTACCTCCCACGTGTGTTTGGCCCAGCCAAAACAGCCACCTTGCCTGTCCTCACGTACACCAGACCTATATCCATGGCCTGAGGGCTTTCATTTAGCCGTTCCTCTACCTGAATGTTATTTTCCCAAAGATCTGCTTGGGTAACCCCAGCACTCCTGTGTCACACTCGGCCCTGCTCGAATCTTGTATTTTCAACAAGGCCTCCCCTGCACATCTTTTCTCGTGCTACGAATTGCCCCCAGACCTACAGTCTCCGTTTCCTTTCCCTTCTCTTCTTTCTCGTTTGTGTCCACCCAGGTCGTTACTCTGTTTTACTCTGTTTACTCTGTATTATCAGTATTGCATCACTAGAATGTCAGCCACACAAAGGCCACAATCATTGTCTATTTGTTCCTGATTATATTCTAAGGTCTGAGAATGGTCCCTGACAACAATAGCAGATGCTCCATAAACACAAGTTGAATGAATGAATGAATGAATGAAATAAAAGGGACTTTGGAGCCAGATGAACTCAAAGCTTGAATCTACCTCCATGCTTCTCCTCTTGGGCAAGTAGATTGAGCTTTCTGAGACTCAGTTCCCTCATTTGTAAAATGGGAATTAGAGTTGGTACCTCCTAAGGTTGCTATGGAAATTAACTAAGAGAACTTTGTAGAAAATACCTGTCACAAAAAGGCTCCCAATAAACATGAATTTTCTTAAAACATTTCCAGAGACAGCAGTTTCTAGAATGAGAGGTTGCTTATCTTGATATTCTGGGCTGAAAGAACTGGTAAACGTTTGTGAACACGAACTCTGTGCCAGGCTCTATTCCAGGCAAGTGAGTAATAACAGAGAAGAAAGTAATTGTGACCTCAGGGAGCACAGAGTCCTTCTGAAAAGCAGATACCCCAGTCCTAACTTCTATCGGAAACATTCAGAAGGTGTAAAAGGGAGGGGGGGAAACAGCAGAAACGAACTAAAAATTTCTTAGTTTGAAATAACGTTAGACTTAAAATAAAAGCTAAATAATGCCGAGCATTTCCATGTCTCCCTCCCCAGCTTCTTCCAATGGTAACATCTTCGATTACCAGAGCGCCTCATCAAAAGCAAGAAATTGACATTGGTCAGTTTCTACTACAGATCTTATTCAGATCTCACCAGTTTTTACCTGCTTTCTGGGTGTGTCTGTATATAATACTATGAGGTACTATCACATGTATAAAGACGAACTATTAAAATCAGAAAGGATTTCACAAAGGTAATAAATATCTTGCTTATTTCTCATTACATTCTGAATTCCAGGATTTAGCATGTCGATGTAATGGATAATATGGTGCTCAGAAAAGCTCAGCGACTTGCCTAGTGTGGCATGGTTCATCAGTGACAGAGCTGGTACCTGCAGTTTTCTGACACTCAACATGTGCTGATATGAAAAACCTTAAGGGCAGAGGCTCAGGTGTGACAGTATTAGAAGGAGTTTTCAGGGCTCTGGCTCCAGACTTAACCTGCCATGGACAAGTTTGCTGCTACACAACGGCTGTTTTGTAGGGACCACATTGCTCTTTCTTTGACACTGCTCCACTATCTGGCTCTGGAATATCTTTCATAAAATGCAGGGGGGAAAAGCCCATGACATATCAGTATTTTCTGGGGGAAGGATTCCCCCCAAATTTTACCCCTACTCTCCTGATACTTCCCAGCCAGAGTCACCTCTGGCGCTGTCAGCTGGAATCCTGCAGAGCAAAGAAAGCAGAAAGGTTTAAAATCAAGGGACACGGAGAGAAGCTTAAACAGCTTGGGAGGAGTCCTGCAGAAAGAAAGTGACTGTTGTCCTTCCTTCTGAAGCTCTTTTTTGTTGCCCAGTCTGGCTGAAAGCAGCAGGGTCTGAACCTCAGCCAAGGGACAAAGGGCTTTTTTGGCTAAGAGAACTAATTGTGGTCACGATGGGCCAAAACAGGAGGGAAGTATTTTATGTGGTAAAAGGGCCTACCAAATGTCAGAATCGGTGCCTGCAGGATGTAATTTAATTCTGCAAGCATTTCTAAGCACCTGCTTTGTTCCAGGAATACTCACGGGACTGAGACAACACTACCCCTCCATGAACTCCCAGACTGGTAGAGAAGTCATTCATTCTGTTCGTTCGTTCATTCGTTCATTTGTTCGTTCATTCATTCAATCTCTCACTCCTTTGGCCATATAATTTAGTCATTAAGAACAGAGCCTCTGGGGCGCCTGGGTGGCTCAGTTGGTTAAGCGGCCGACTTCAGCTCAGGTCATGATCTCATGGTCCGTGAGTTCGAGCCCCGCATCGGGCTCTGTGCTGACAGCTCAGAGCCTGGAGCCTGTTTCGGATTCTCTGTCTCCCTCTCTCTGACCCTACCCTGTTCATGCTCTGTCTCTTCCTGTCTCAGAAATAAATAAAACGTTAAAAAAAAATTAAAAAAAAAAAGAACATAGCCTCTAAATAAGAGAAACACATTCATTCATTTCTTTAAGAAATATTTGTTCTGTTAAGTGTCCAGCACTGCTGAAGGCACTAGGGAAACGAAAGTAGAAAAAAATAGAGGTCTCTACTCTCAAGGACATTGATTGGCTTGAGGCTGGAGAGACAATGAACAATAAACATAACAAGTAAATTATATAGTCTACTAAAGGAGAAGGTGGTAAGTGTTGTGGGAAAAAGAAAACACGGAACGGGGCAAGGGGCCTGGGGAATATGGGGCCAGAGAGTTTCACCTGCAGTGTTCAATCAGGTTGTCCAGCCATGCGTTGGTAGCCATGTGCATATGGGGTGGGGAGGGGACATAGTGCAGGTAGGGGAACAGCTAGAGACCAAACCCTAATGTGGGGCCACATCTGCTCAGTCCAGGAACAGTCAGGAAGCCCATGAGGCTAATCACAGAGAGGGAAGGGAGAAGAGGAAGAGAGTTAAGACTGGAGGTATACTGCACAGGGCCATGGTAGCATTTCTGCCTTTGTTGAGTGAAGTGTGTGGTCATGGCAAGGTCCTAGTAGAGGATTATCATGATGTAGCTCATGTTTCAGTGGGAGCATTTCAGCTGCCATGGTGGGAACAGACCTTATGTGTACAAAGCTAGAGGCAGGGAGATCAGCCAGGAGACCATTTCATCCAGAGAGAACTCGTTGTGATGAGCACTGGGTGTTGCATGGAAATGATGAATCACTATATTGTACACCTGAAACTAATGTTACACTGTATGTTAACTAACTGCAATGTAAATAAAAGCATTTTTAAAAGGTGAACAGAATAATAAAAACAACCATCGGCAAGGAGAGTATGGCAAACAAATTTTATAAATTGGATAAATTAATAGTTGGGGTGAAAGCCTCAAAATTGGTTTATCTCATGCAGGGGAAGTTAAGGTAAAGCCAAAATTCAATTCTTGTTGTGGAAGATACTTTCAACTTCAAAAGTTGGAGAGGTAGGATTTCTACATTCCTGGCTTCTCCCTAATGATCAATTAGACTAAATGTGTCTTTTTCTTTTAATATTATGAGAATGCTTGAAAATCTTCAACTTCAATCACTTTTGCCTTCTCTAATAGAATTTCTATAAGAATTTTCTTTACCTTTTCTTTACCTTCTCCTGACTTAGATATCTGCACATGATGGCTTATACATTTGTTTTCCCCTAAAACCGTATGCTGAAACCCTAACCCCCAATGTGATGGTATTTGGAGAGGAAGCCTTTGGAGGCAATTAGATCGTAATAGTGGAACCTTCAAGAATGAAATTAATGTCCTTATAAAAAGGAACACAGAGAGCTTCTCTCTCTCCTCTCTCTCTATCTCTCTCTCTACCATGTGAGAACACAACGAGAAGGCAACCACCCACAACCCAGGGAGAGAGCTCTCCCCAGAAATCAAATCAGCTGGCATCTTGTTCCTGAACTTCTGGCCCTCAGAAGTGGAAATAAATCTGTTTAAGCCATGCTTCAGTCTGTGGTACTTTATCATGGCAACCTGAGTGGACTGAAGACAATGTGTCTCCAGTCTGTTAACTTACCAATCAATCTCTGACTTCTCCATTCAAGTCACCTTTGTAAATCCACCTCTTATAAGCAACACTGCTGATTTGGCTAATGCTCTCTCTTCAACACTAGTCCAAAAACAAGAACTATCTGTTGGTCAACATCAACAGTCTATTCCACTCAGATATCCTATCACTAATGTCCAAAATAAAATTAACCATCCCCCATTTCCTCCTCCATACTATCCTCCCTTCCTCACTTCTTCCCAGTCACCCAGGTTAACACACCTGAGACGCTGCTTTTACATTTCTGTGTCTCTGCTCCACAAATCCAATCAGTTGACCATATATTAGTCCATAAACATCCTATATAATATCCTACCTTTGTTTACATCTCATCTACTCCATTTCCACCACCCTTTTCTAGCTCAATCCTGGTGACCTCTCCCCTGGACTACCATGTTAGCCTTTTAATTTACTCCTCTGGCTTCAGTCACTCTCTTTAAGACCATCTTTCACAAGACATCCTGATAAGTCATCTGCCAGTGCAAAGCTCATCATATTATTCCTCTACTCAAAAACTAACAGCCGTTCTCCCTGCTGGTGGAAAAAAGTCGGACACTTGTTTCTCACCAGCTCCTCCTGAAAATGTGGATTTTGTCTGCCTTACTATCTCTAATTCTCACTATTCCCCTCTATGCACTTTATATGCCAGTTTGCAGGAGAGATTCACTATGCACTGAACACTGTCCTCACTTGCTCTGGCTTCTGTTCTGCCTGCAATGCCTCCCCCAGCTTTGCTGCATGTCCAAATCCTTAAGATCCAGACGAAATCCTTCCCTCTGATGTTATCCCTTCTGGTCGGCATTCACTCGCCTTTAAATACCCTCAATATTTGCACCAGACCTTTAAAATGCCCTAATTTTGATGGTACTCTAAATTTTACCCGCTTATGTTTCATCCCAGGAAACTTCAGCATTTCAAATATTATGTTTGTTAGGATAATTTCAGCTGCTGTAACAAATTAGCCCCCAAATTTTGGTGGCCTAACACAATGACGATTTCTTTCTCAGGTAGGAATCTAATGTGGGAGTTCCTGCTCAGTAGGCAATTTTTCTCCATGTGGGAATCCAAGGGCCCAGATTCTTTCCTTCTGGTGGTTCTCCCATTTCTTAAGACCCCCAAGCTCCCTGCTTCCAGCCAATGGAAGGGGAAAAAAGAGGGTAAGGAAAAACACATTTCCTAATCATCGTTACCTGGACATACACCACTTATATTCATAGTCTGTTGCAAGAACCGGCACTTGGCCCAAGGTCGGGGGAGATATAGTCCGCGCCTGAGCCAGACACAGCTCTCTTTGATAGAAGAGTGTGGAAGTTTTGGGTGGAGACTTAGTCTTCCCTGCCACACTCTGGCACACAGACGACATTTTACATCAAAAACATATAGTTGGAGCTAATAATACATAAAATGTTCATCTTTTAATGATCACTTACAATGGGCCCTTTTGTGCTAGGAATGATGTATTTATTATCTCCAACATAAAGAGCAACATTGCAATATAAAGATAACAATCATGCCTTTTGAGATGGGAAAACTTTGTTTCAGAGACGTAAAATGATCATAATCATAAGCATAATAATACTTAACGAACATTGATTTTAACATTAACTAAGAACTTTACATACAGGATGACTCAAGATGATAAGTTGTTGAGCAAGCTTTTGAACTCAGATATCTGAATGTAAAGACCACGTTCCATCCATTACTAGTTCAATCTCTCCTTTATGCTCTGCAGCTAAAATGTCCCTAGTAATAGAAGTTGACATTTGTGGGGTGCTTCCTGTTATATACATTTATACATTTATATACTCAATTATATACATTTAACATGTATTGAGGCACTGTAATATTTAACTCGCATTAATATATATTACAACATATTATGTTATTTTATAATTATATATGTATTTATAATCCCATTATATGCTAGTTATTATAAATATGTAATTAATATATTACAATATGTTACATTATATATTATACATGGTGTTGCAAGCTAAATATTATAATACCTCAATACATGCTAAAGGTATATAATTGAGCCTGGCAAACAGGAAGCATCATAAATGTCAACTTCTATTATATGTAGCAAAATATTATCATATGATATGACATACATGTATATAGATACCATAATATATACTGCGTGTACACTATATGACATCACCGTCACGTCCTTCATACAGACGAGGAGACTGAAGCACAAAGTGGCTAAGTGACTTGTTCAGAGTCTCACTGTGAACAATGGCCCCTGCAGGTGTGAACCTGGGCACCTGGGTGCCACAGCCAGAGCTCTAAGTACAAAGGCTGGCCACCTGTGCTAATCCTCTTGCTTCCCAGACCTGTTTGTTTTCCCAGACATCAGACCGTGAGGCCATGAAATACAGGCACTGTGCGGTATTCATCATTTCACTCCAGTACCTAACATTGCCTGGCACACTCCAATAAATATTTGTTGAGCCCAATTGATCAAGTTCAGGGAACACTGCTACTGAGAGTAGGACCAGAGTTTAGAATCTGTGAGGTTAGGGGAGGAGCAGTAATTTCTGCCTGGAGAAGAGAATAACCTGGCATTTCAAGAGGCAAAGTCCAAGTGTTTCATGAACTTCTCACTATTTGTCTTTCTGGTGAACTTCTGCATTCCGGGCAGTAGGTCAGGACTGGAGAGCCCGTGCCGTAAGAATTCCATCCTAGCTCACCCAGCCTGTCGAGAACACCCTTGTAACTCTCTACTTGCATGTTTCTGTGCCAAACACTACTCAAAAGCTCAAGAGACAGGAACATGTGTTTCTGTCTGCATTGGAAGTTTGGGAAATATGCCCGAGACAGAGAGAAACCCTAGGTCTGTACAAGTTTATCTTTTTGTCTGGGACATAAATAAAAATAAGGCCTGTGGTGTGAGAAAGGGCTTAGGATTTCCTAATCAGATGGCATGGCCACATAAATATAAAATAAATAATTAGGATTTGTGAGGGGATTTAGCTATCACAGAGCACAGTCATATATAGTGTCCTGCTTAGTCCTTCCAAACCACACCCAATCAAATCTTCCCACTTTTTACCAAGCAAAGGGAATGGTTTTTCATTTGGTTGTTGGCTTTGTGGTTGCTGTTCTGCTAATTTTTAATGAGCCGGTATTTAGACTTTCTGTGAAGAGAGTGTATGGAGTTCACACTTTGCTCCTCTGTTCCAAACAAGTAGAAGTGATAAGGAAAAAAAATGCACACACACACTCACCCACACACACCCCACATATGA